GTCGGTCGAGACGTCAGATTGGGTGTGAATTTACAACAGCTTTCATACTGTTGTTATCTAAATAAAATTAAAGTTAAGAATATAGCTGATATAGTTTTGAATAGTACAAAAAATCAACAACGTTTCAATAAATAAAAAAACACAGATGGAAAAAAAGATGAAAAGTAGAAGAATATGTACAGCAAGTCTTGCTATACAAATCTTTTAATATCCTAAAACTATTTGTACAGTTATGAGCCAAGGTAGCTTTGATTGGTATAAACATGTGAGATCCAAAAGGTATTTGGCACTAATTCTTTTGTGAATCTAAAAAGCAATGCATTACATATATGCTCTTGGTCATGCAAAGTCCACTTTCACAACACATCCTTAGACAATCAGTCTCAGTGATCCAGTATTAAAGTTTATAACTGGAATTGTTGATTGAAATGAGGCAGTTGCACAATGAACATGATCAAGATTTTATTAGCTGAGTCTAGAAGTGATAAAAGGAATCAAATTAACAACCTAATATACATATCTTTATTTCTTACCAATAAATATGAAACAATGGTATGTATGATTAAATCCCTATCCATTACAGTGCCTTTTTATCAATGCAAAGGGTGCCCTTAAAGTGTATCCAATCGCACTAAGAGTGCCCTCTGCGAAAAAAATTACCCTGCCCTTTTCAAAAGCTGCAGGAAACACTAACAATCATTCCCTACATCACATATAGTTGACCTACTGCTTATAGTATCCGAGATACAGACTTGGCCACGTAACTTTAACCTTGACCATTGATCCATGAAATGTGGTCGAGGTCAGGTAAACCCTACCTGACAGACATGTAGATATTGCAAGGAACCCATATACCAAATGTAGTTATCTTATTACTCATAATAAGTGAGTAAAAAAATATTTCACTTGACAAAATAAGAGAAGAAAGTGTCTAAGGGCACAAATGCACTCAAGCTTCGCAATTTTTCAAGTTAAAAAGGGGCATAACTCTAGAACGGTAAATGACTCACCCCCCAAACTACATTGACCAAAAACTTTAACTTGAAGCGGGACAGATGGACGAACACACAGACGGACGCACAGACTGAAGAAACATAATGCCCCCCTACTATCATAGGTGGGGCATAAAAAAAAATTATATTGGGCTTGCTTTTTTATTTCATGAGAATTAATTCTACAATTCAAAGTACATTTGTAGCATTTTTTCATGTAACCATTTTCTTTAAGGGACATATTTTTGGTCCAATTAACACCTTTGATGATCGTTAATCTGTTTATCATTCTATGTCAGGTTAATTAGTGTCATTATTTCTGATTACATGTGAGCAACAATTAAATTGTTTAATTTGCAATTTCCTTCAATTGAGACAATCTGTAAGCATAAATGAATCAGCTTATTTCTGAAAGCAATTGTTTTATTAAATATTTGATGAAAGTGGTCAGTAATGAAAGAGGAACAAGTAAGTGGAAACGAACACCTTATTTTGCAATGATCCACAAATCATTATAAAACAACATGATTATTTTTTAGAATCTTCATTTCTGATGGCTTCAAATTCTTCACTTGATTTTCTGAAACTAAAATCTACGAATTTAATAACCCACGAACATGTAACTTTTGCTCAAACCACAAAAATTGATACCCACGAATAAAAGTACTACAGTCAGCATTGTGTATAAGTTTTATTACATGTGATTGAGGGAAACTAAAGTTAGAGAAAGGAAACTAAATTTGGGATGTATGGACAGACGGACAGTCGGACCGACCAGGGTAAAACTTAATGCCCCTACACCACGGCTGGGGCATAAGCTGCGACAGGTGCATTAAAATTGTAATGTATGGATAAAATTTAAGTTGATTTGTGTATCTGGCAAAGGAGATAGATAAAAGACAGATCTGAAACTGTGTCACACTGTATAGGTTATGGATATGAAGCTTGGTGTCAAATATCAAAAAGATCTCTAGTTCCAGAGAAAAATGGGAAGAAAATTTCATTTAGGTTCCTTATTGTGAAGAACAAACAGTAGATAAGGAAAGGATCTGAAAATCATTCAAATGTTACCAGTATGAAGCATGGTGCCAAATATATTATGTATGATTTGTTGTTGTTTAGAGAATTGCAACAAATGTTTCTTTATCATCAGCAATATAAAAAAACTTACATATTACATGTATATGGTAAACAGGAAAAAGATAAGTCAAGGATCTGTAAATGTATCATGGATTAAAGCTTAGAAGCTTGGTACTAAATATCAGGAAGCTTTGATCTGCAGTTACTGAGAATCAAAGTGATGGAAATCACTAATGGAAAGATTGGAAGAGTAGTTTGAATAATTTCAAATTATATTTAGGTGTGGTATGGACAAAAAAGAATAATAATATAGCACTACTGCTGACAATTGCATTAACCGCAGGTCTTTAGAAGGATAAGCACTTTTTCAGTATATAAAATGAGCTAAATGTGAATCAATGATAGTGGGTCCCTTAATTTGCACAACAATTTGTTTAAATTGCCATTTCATATCCTAACCAAATAATTATTTCTGTTACATGTTTCACCTTTTACATTTTATCTTTAGAAACAAAAGAAACAAGAAATGATTGTAACAGGATGCTGTTACGAAGTCTCCCAAACGAAGCTCCCATAATTCGTAATTCCCAGGGTCGCCTGACATTGGGCAACGTCCAGTGAAAATTGGTTTGGTCCAGTAAAGTTATATGCATTAGTGATGCCTGGGGACTAACCTTGTATATCATTCAAATCATCTTGGCATGACAAACCAGAATATATATGGTTTAGGGGTGGGGATCTCGACCATTTACAAGATACTAGAATATTGGGGGTGGGGAGGAACCCCTGGGTACTGGCCCTAAACGTCATTCAAGTGTTCATTACATGGCGAACAGGAATATATATGGTTTAGGGGTGGGGATCTAAACCATTTACAAGATATTAGAACTTTCTCAAATGGCAGGGGGTCGGGATGACCCCTGGGGACTAACCCTGTATATCATTCAAACCATCTTCGCATGACAAACCAGAATATATATGGTTTAGGGGTGGGGATCTTGACCACTTAGAAGATATTAGAACTTTCTTAAATAGCAGGGGGTGGGGTGACCCCTGGAGACTAACCCTGTATTTCATTTGATGTGCTTTATCATGACAAACCAGAATATATAAGGTTTAGGGGTGGGGATCTCGACCATTTACAAGATATTAGAACTTTCTCAAATGGCAAGGGGTGGGGGTGACCGCTGGGGACTAACCCTGTATAACATTTGATGTGCTTTATCATGACAAACCAGAATATATATGGTTTAGGGGTGGGGATCTCAACCATTTACAAGATATTAGAACTTTCTCAAATGGCAGGGGGTCGGGATGACCCCTGGGGACTTACCCTGTATATCATTCAAATCATCTCAGCATGACAAACCAGAATATATATGGTTTAGGGGTGGGGATCTTGACCACTTAGAAGATATTAGAACTTTCTTAAATGGCAGGGGGTGGGGGTGACCCCTGGGGACTTACCCTGTATAACATTTGATGTGCTTTATCATGACAAACCAGAATATATATGGTTTAGGGGTGGGGATCTCGACCATTTACAAGATATTAGAACTTTCTAAAATGGCAGGGGGTTGGGATGACACCTGGGGACTAACCCTGTATATCATTCAAACCATCTTAGCATGACAAACCAGAATATATATGGTTTAGGGGTGGGGATCTTAACCACTTTCAAGATATTAGAACTTTCTTAAATGGCAGGGGGTGGGGGTAACCCCTGGGGACTAACCCTGTATAACATTTGATGTGCTTTATCATGACAAACCAGAATATATATGGTTTAGGGGTGGGGATCTCAACCATTTACAAGATATTAGAACTTTCTCAAATGGCAGGGGGTCGGGATGACCCCTGGGGACTTACCCTGTATATCATTCAAATCATCTCAGCATGACAAACCAGAATATATATGGTTTAGGGGTGGGGATCTTGACCACTTAGAAGATATTAGAACTTTCTTAAATGGCAGGGGGTGGGGATGACCCCTGGGGACTAACCCTGTATATCATTCAAACCATCTTAGCATGACAAACCAGAATATATATGGTTTAGGGGTGGGGATCTTGACCACTTACAAGGTATTAGAACTTTCTTAAATGGCAGGGGGTGGTGGTGACCCCTGGGGACTAACCCTGTATTTCATTTAATGGGCTTTATCATTTAGAACATTTTCAATTAAAAAGTTTGTGTCTATCACGAACGGTTTTCAATTTATAATCATTTTAAATTTTAAAAAATAAAATCCCATAGGGTTCTATAGTAAAACCCTCTTTTCTTTTTGCCCCTCAAAGTACCCCTTTATAAACCCCATTGCAAAAACAAAACCCTGATTGCACCACTAGACATGTTAGTCTAACATATTGTGAAACCCTAAGTTAATCCGACAAGCGGTTTTGGAGAACGGGTGCGGACAAGTTCAAATTTAAAAGCGGCGGAAGAAGAAGAAGAAGAAGAAGAAGAAGAAGAAGAAGAAGAAGAATAATAAGAACTGAGCAAAAACAATAAGTCTTCCCAAACTTCGTTTGGGAGACTTAATTACCAACTAATTTCTTGGAATAAAGTTTATCAATTACCCTATAGGACATGGGACTACCAGCAAACTAAGAATTATATTGTCTCCAAAAATTAATCGTTAAATGTGTCACATCACTTTCAGCATTGTTGGCTATTTCGTGGTGGCCAGTTTGTATTGGTGGAGGAAGCCGTAGTACTAGGAGAGAACCACGACCTTCGTTATGAAAACTGACAATCCTAGTCAATTAAGATTGGAGTCAAATGTGCGGGCCATGAGTGGTACTTGAACTCACAACCTCAGTGATGCAGTAGTTGAACTACTAATACCACCTGGCCACTGAGACCCCTAGCTGGGTAGAAAAAACTACAGACAATTAAGAACTGTATCATATCATATTATTTACTTACAGATGGAAGACATTAAAATGGAAGTATACCAATCCAAGGCCATACAGGAACGATGCATTCTGCAAAACAACAATCAAATATGTTCAATAATATACGATGGAATCAACAACACCACACAAAATGTGTACAAATTATAATTCATTGAAAAAAAGTACAAATTTATAAATTTACTAGAACACAACCGCGTTCGTTGCCATGGCATTAGTGTGGCATCTGAGGTGACCTAATCCCTTATTTTGTATATAGTTGTCTTTATATTTTGCATTTTTTATATTTTGAGGATGAGTGAATCAGGTGAGTGTGTGTTCATACGTTGTATTGCATTGTAATTATTGTTTTGGGGATGGTTAACTTTCTAGTAGGAAGACCCGTCACGGCCAGGCTGGGGAACTGAGTAGGCAAATGCTCTCTTTAAATCTCTACCAATAGTGTGTTAAATGTACTCCTTTACACCATAACCCATGGTGGTGCTCCTATTAAAGGAGGGAGATACAGAACATACATACATATACTATAAACTGGCCACCCGCTGATTGGCACTCTGTGTGAAGATAAGAGCGAAACAGCAGCAGAGGTTCAGTTTAACATATACTATTGGTATGGGTATCGGAATCGACCGGGAACTTGTTAATTATTGGTAATATTAATTATGTGGAAAACAAAAGGGCCTGGAATGGTGTAATTTTTAATCAACACCATTGTCCCATATTAGTTATATATAAAGTTGAATTCTTTGATTCGTTGTTTTTACGTCATGCGGACTAACAAATTGGACCTCATTATTTCAGTAGTATAAATATACTAGGAGGAAAAAATTAAAAGACTAATCTAGAATAGGAACAAAAAATTCTTAAAAAAATGAGAGATGGGGGATTTTTTTTTTATATATATTATTATTATTCTGATTCCCAACTTTGAAGAACAAAAATATTTTTTCAGGCAGAAGAAAAAAAGAATTCTGACTGAGAGATTTTTGCCATTACATTAGAAAGTTATCAACAAATAAAATAATTGTCTTAACTTGATCAATATATGTTTGTGTCAGGGGTCTACACAGGTAAAAATGAGGATAACCAAGTAACCCTAAGGGACCTATAACAGGAATTTGGAGGACTCAGAAGATTATACAAACTACTGAAAGGCAGTGTTATCACCATAAAAAGAATTGCAGTCAAAATTTAGTAACCATTCACAAAAAAGCAATTTCTAACAACAACAAAAACTTGATAATGTCTGATCTTCTTTAATTTTAATTCAATAAAATGCTCCGCTGGGGCGCAGCTTGATACGACCGCAGAGGTCGAACCCTGAACAGTTTGGGCAAGTATGGACACAACATTCAAGCTTGATACAGCACTGAATTTGGATTGTAATTAAATATTTGACACAGCATAGGTTTCTGACACAGAATGAATGTGGTCTAAGAACTTAAAATTTTTTAATTTACCTATTCAAACCATATCATTATTATTTGCTTTTATATATAAATCAGAAATAACCAATTTAAAATGGAAAATTTTAAAGAAAAAAAAGGAAAAAAAAATCCCCCCCAAATTTTTTGAACCCCCTTATGATTCATCACCCCCAAACTCAATCCCAGCCTTCCCTTTGTGGTATGGTACCTTGCAGTACAATTTCAGAGAGATCCATACACTTGAACACAAGTTATTGTCTGGAAACTAGAAAAAAATGCTTGTTTTTGGCCCCAAATTCCTAAACGTTAAGGGCAATTACCCCCAAACTCAAACCCAGCTTTCCCTTTGTGATATGGAACCTTGAAGTACAATTTCATAAAGATCCTGAACTTACACACACAAGTTATTGTCCTGAAACTAGAAAAATGCTTGTTTTTTTGCCCTTTTATGGCCTCTAATTACTAAAATTTTGAGGGAATTACCCCCAAAAATCAATCCCAGCCTTCCCTTTGTGGTATGGTACCTTGCAGTACAATTTCAGAGAGATCCATACACTTGAACACAAGTTATTGTCTGGAAACTAGAAAAATGCTTATTTTTGGCCCCTTATTCCTAAACTTTTTGGGCAATTACCCCCAAACTCAAACCCAGCTTTCCCTTTGTGATATGGGACCTTGTTGTACAATTTCATAAAGATCCATACACTTACACACAAGTTATTGTCATGAAACTAGAAAAATGCTTGTTTTTGGCCCCTTTTTGGCCCCTAATTCCTAAAATTTGTGGGCAATTACCCCCAAAATCAATCCCAGCATTCCCTTTGTGTTATGGAACCTTGTGATACAATGTCAGAGAGATCCATACACTTACACACAAGTTATTGTCATGAAACAAGAAAAATGCTTGTTTTCTGCCCCTTTTTGGCCCCTAATTCCTAAAGGAGTAGGTCCGGTAAGGGCCGATTTTGGCCTCAAAATTCAGGTTCATCTGATGAAAGATTTTGGACACTTTTTAAACACTTAAGTGTCTACTTCAGTCGATTCAATTAGTTTTTGTGAAAGATTTGAACTGATTTAGTCATTAAAGACGCTCAAATTCAAGCTTAAATTTCAAAAATCTATCAAATATGCCATAATATGTCACTTTTCAGATGGTTTTTGTCAAAAATGAAAGTGGCCGCATCTGTGTTCATTCTCAATCTTTATATATGTTATGTATTATCATCAAATACAACTTACATTTAAATATTAAGAATGAACACTCCTTTCCAATAAATAGCTAAAAATTTACATTTTAACAATTTTGTAAAACTGTATATTTTGGGGCCAAAAAGGGGTCTTACTGGGCCTACTCCTTTGGAGGCAATTACCCCCAAAATCAATCCCAGCATTCCCTTTGTGATATGGAACCTTGTGGTACAATGTCAGAGAGATCCATACACTTACACACAAGTTATGTCTGGAAGTTACAAAAATGCTTATTTTTGGCCCCTAATTCCTTAACTGTTGGTACCATAACCCCCAAAATCAATCCCCACCTTCCTTTTGTGGTATTGAACCTTATGGTAAAATTGAGATCCATTCACTTAAACTAAAGTAAGAGTGCGAAAACTAATGTGTCTTCGGACGACGACGACAACGACGATGACGCCAACGTCATACCAATATACGACCACAAAAATTTTTTTGCGGCCGTATAAAAATGACCTAAAGTAGGAACAACATTTAAGTCCTTTGTATTTAAAATCCGCCTGACCTTTCCTGTCCCTTCGACTCCCTTGATTTGGAAATTGGATAAAGAAAGGTCTCTAGCAGTGTTGTAGATATTTTCAGAATGTATCAATTTTCCAGACAGAAGTTGTAAATCATAGTAATGTAATTATTAGTGAAAAATTCAATTTGTTGATCCTTACCTTCCAGTGGTCTGGCTGTAGATGGTAAAATCTTTGGTAGGCTGATAGAGCTTAAAAGACACAAAAAATAAATAATTAATTACATGGCAGATTTCAACATGTTCCAAATACTTTATATGAATCTGATTTTAATGTTTCAAACATTTATTTAATGGCAAACAATTATAACCAATTGTATTAACTATTAAGATTGATATGCTATAAGTAAATCCCAAACTGCAGGTGCCCAAACAGTTTCTGCTGGCAGGTAGTTGAATTGTCATTTTTACATTTAGGGAAAAAAATAAATAATTGTGGATTAAAAAACATCAACCACATTGACAATCTTGTGTGGAGGACTTTTGGTTTTTACGCATTTACCTTGTCCTTCTAATATGTGATATGCAGTTGTTACCTTCATTCTTTAGTCAGTGTCATATGAAAGTCATAATCTGATTGTAAAATTATCAAACTCTTAACAGCTACTGTAAATGTGGATTCTATTCCTGGGATCTCAATTTAAGCTGATTTTGTAGGTTAACATGGTAAAGGTAACCACATATTTAAATGATTTATGGTGTACAAATTTTCTATAGGCTGCATTCTGGTATGCACTCTTTTGCAAAAATGAAATGAAGTATCTTCAAAAATAAGTTGGTTAACAGTAATTTTACCTTTTGGGTATTGCTGTAAAAGTAACAGGTGACTTAGACTACTGTAATTTTACTGTGTGGGTACTGCTCAAGAGGTAACAGATGCCCCAGCAAACAATTATCTTACCTGTCAAATACTGCTGTAAAAGTAACTGGTGACTTCAACTACAGTAATTTTACCATGTGGGTACTGCTCAAGAAGTAACAGGTGCCCCAAACTACATGAACAGTAATTTTACATTTTGGGTACTGCTCTAGAAGTAACAGATGCCCCAGGCTACAGTAATTTTACCTTTTGGGTACTGTTCTAGAAGAAGTAACAGGTGCCCCAGATTACAGTAATTTTACCTTTTGGGTTTTGCTCTAGAAGAAATAACAAATGCCCAAAGCTACAGTAATTTTACCTTTTGGGTACTGCTCTAGAAGAAATAACAGGTGCCCCAGATTACAGTAATTTTACCTTTAGGATACTGCTCTAGAAGAAGTAACAGGTGCCCCAGACTACAATAGACATTTGGATCTACATCAGACTCTGTAGTATCTGTTCCTTTCTTTATTTTCTGTCTTATTAACTGCTCATAATACTTTATACCCTAAAATTAAGCTAATATATTCAGAACTCATGGATTAGAAAAAGACAAAAAAAAGTCTATATCAAAAACTTTTTTTCTTGTTTCAGTTATGCAGAAGTAAAGACAAGAGTACACACACTGAAATGTCTCGCATACTATACTGACCATTGATTTTATGTTGAAAGTCCTACATATAAAGTTTTACTACAAGTATCACATTAACATTTATGATCCAAGAAAATGAGGTCAAGGTCAGGTAAACCAAGCTGGAATACATGTACACCTTTAATACAATCATTCACATACATACACAGAATATAGATGACTATTCCTTAAAGTATAAAAGAAACAGACCAAACCATTGAAATTCTATACTGACCAATGAACCATGAAAATGAAGTCAAGGTCAGATGAATCCTGCCAGACAGACATGTACACCTTAAAATCATTCCATACTTCAAATATAGTTGACCTATTGCTTATAGTATCTAAGAAACAAAGTTATCCAGGAAAACTGAACATTGACCAATGAACCATGAAAATGAGGTCTGGGTCTGATGATACCTGCCAGATAGACATATACACCTTACAATCATTCCATACACCAAATATAGGTGACCTATTGCTTAAAGTTTAAGAAAAACAGACCAAAACACAAAAACTTAACAAAAGCAATGAACCATGAAAATGAGGTCAAGGTCAAATAAAACCTGCCAGGCTGACATGTACATCGTTAAATATTTCCATACGCCAAATATAGTTGACCTACTGCATACAGTATTAAAAAAACAGATCAAAACACAAAAACTTAACATTGAACAATGGACCCTGAAAATGAGGTGAAGGTCAAATAAAACCTGCCAAACTTACATGTACATCCTAAAATATTTCCATACACCAAATATAGTTGACCTATTGCATACAGTATTAGAAAACAGACCAAAACACAAAAAACTAAACAATTACCACTGAACCATAAAAATGAGGTCAGGTCAGATAACACCTGCCAGTTGGACATGTACACCTTACAATCATTACATACACCAAATATAGTAGACCTATTGCTTATAGTATCTGAGATATGGACTTGACCACGAAAACTTAATCTTGTTCACTGATCCATGAAATGAGGTCGAGGTCAAGTGAAAACTGTCTGACAGGCATGAGGACCTTGCAAGATACGCACATACCAAATATAGTTATCCTATTACTCATAATTAACATTAAAAAAAAATCTTAACTTTTTTTTCAAGTAGTCACTGAACCATGAAAATTAGGTCAATGACAATGGACATATGACAGACAAAAACTTGATATCATAAGGCATCTATATACAAAGTATGAGGCATCCAGGTTTTCTACCTTCTGAAATCGAGCTTTCTGCGACAAAAGTCGCAGGCTCGACAAAAATGACAACATATTAGTGACCAAAAACAAAAAATGCCAAAATTTCATTTTGACCTTAGACCAAGTGACCTCAAAATCAATAGGTGTTTATTTATAAAACAATAGTGAATAGCACATTAACAAGATTGCATTATTGTTTTTTTTCTCCAAAAATTTCAATCTATTCATAGGTATTGTTACCTTGACTTTTGACCTATTGACCCAAGAAAGGACCATTTATAAACTTAGATTAGTGAAGGCTGAAAATGAAGTTCAAATTTACCATACTGAAACTAAACTTCTATCCCCGTTTCAGTCTATCAACATTTTTTTTGGTAAAATTAATCTGTCTTTGACATAAAGACCTAAAAGGTCTTTTTTCATGCTCAAAAGAGCATCATCCACAAAATATTGGTTAGGACTTGATTAATTACTCAAAAGTGATTATCCAGAAAAGAAATTTTAAAAAATATGTCAGTTTATCTATAGGTACTGTGACCTTGACCTCTAGCCTATTAACCCAATAATCAATAGGGGGGTTTGTTTTTCCAAAGGGCATTCTAAAACTAACTTTGAAACACATTTATTCTAAAAGCAGTTGTTGGCATGATACAGGTTATGTTCTTCTCATATATTTTGTGATGGTATGATACTAAACGCCTAACGGGAGGGTTGTACTTGATTTTCATATGATGAAGACATAATCTTTCAATCAGTTTAATTGAGGTCTGGAGCTGGCATGTCAGTATCTGCTAGTAGTCCTTTGTTAATTTATGTATCATTGTCATTTTGCTTAGTTTCTTTTGTTACCTATTCTGACATCTGACTCGGACTTCTTTTAAACTGAGTTTTACTGTGCGTATTGCTATGTGTTTCTTTATTCTACATTGGCTAGAGGTATAGGGGGAGGGGAGGGTTGAGATCTCACAAACATGTTTAACCCCGCTGCATTTTTGCACCTGTCCCACGTCAGGAGCCTCTGGCCTTTGTTAGTCTTGTATGTTTTTTTAATTTTAGTTCATTTTTATGTTTTGGAGTTTAGTGAGACGTCCATTTTCACTGAACTAGTACACAATTTTATTTAGGGGCAAGCTGAGGACCACCTCTGGGAGCGGGATTTTCTCGCTGCGTTGAAGACCCATTGGTGGCCTTCGGCTGTTGTCTGCTCTTTGGTCGGGTTGTTGTCTCTTTGACATATTCCTCATTTCCATTCTCAACTTTATAGTATGTTTTTATTTAAAGATATCATCTGGTAACCAAACATTTGATTTTGCACCAACTTAAGTCTACTAGATGTGGTTGAGACCTTGAACTTTGACCAAGTAATTTCAAATATCATAGTCATGATAGTGGTTTTCATCCCAGGAGAATTATCAATCCAAGTTTTGATAAAAGTTTGACAAATTATTCAAAAGATAACATCTGAAAAAAAAACATTTTTGCAAAAATTTTAGTCTAGAAATAGATGGTGACCTTGACCTAGTCACCTCCAAATTAAAAATGTTCTTCCTCACTTCTTTGGACATTACCAAACCAATTTACAAAATGTAGGTAAATATTCTTTATGGCACTCAAGAAATTGTCTGGTACTGAAATGTTGATGTTTAGAAATTTGGATAGCATTCATATCATATCCAAATTAAATATTTCATTTAATACAGTATCACCTTTCCTAATTTCAATTTCTGTAAATCAATTTTCTTTGTTCATAGTTTTTTCTTCACTGGTCAAAAAATGTTTCTGTATGAAATTTAATGAAGCATTTTCCCACAAGAGACATGGTTGAAGCGAGAAGACAAGTTCTATTGAATCCCATTCAGGTTCTTTCATTCATCATGTTTATTGACTATATTTCATATAAATTACCTTTTCTACAACTGCTCTTTTAGTTGCTTCTTCTGGAAGATTCAGCTTTACAAATCCAAAATCTCGACTGAAAAATATTAAAAAAATGTGTTATTCTCACCTGTATCTGTAATCTCTTTGTCAAAAACATATCTGGCAATCATAACACATCTCCTAATTCTCATATCAATAAATTTGAGATTATTTTCCTTGGCTATTTACTAGATACATGTAGATCACTTGTTTCAGATAAAGATAATAACTACTTATGTCTAAGGTACTAATGTCCTGTTTTTCAGATGACGCCAAAAGAAAATATGTGTGTAGAGGATTTACTTCCTGAAAATGATAGGGTCACTAGGATAGTTTTTAGTTGAAATCTGGGTAAAACAAGATTGCAGGTCTTGATGTGATAAGCATACAATGTTCCGTACTCTTAATCATGTTAATGAAAAGTATTAGAAAACAGGAAGTAGGTGTCTGACAGCTCCAAAAAGTGATTATACATTGCAACTCATCACTGTAAAGCTGCTGACTAATTATGAAGTCATTCTGTTCAGTAGTACTTGAGGAAAAAATTCAAAGTTCATTTAACATATTAGAAAATTAAAAGTACCAGCAAATAGGAAGTAGGTGTGTGACAAATATTAAAAGTGCTCACAGGTTACAACTCATTCATGTCAAGCTGCTGAAAAAATGTGAAGTCATTCTGTTCTTAGAAATATGTACCAGAGAAAAAATGAAGGTGAATGAAATACTTATGGGGTTTTTAACGACCTTGACTGGCTATTAAGCCCTCGCACGGTCGGTGGAATGAAATATAGCCCCACTCCTAGTATTTATATTGTGTTTTCAGAGTCTTGGTTTGGTATTATACCTCTTTCATTTGCAATTTGTCAGTGAACAAGTTATAATGTTCTAACATGTTTTGTATCAATTCATTATTTTGTTGCATATCTTGATCAAATAAGTTAGCTGTTAGTGAAAAATTTCGAAAAAAATTTTGGTCTGACACTGCTCGAAATTATGGTAGGCCTGGAAACCGTAAATACAAACATACATTCTATTGGCTATATATATTTAGCAAAATGGAAATTTCACAATGGGAAAATAAACATTATTCATACCAAATTCAACGTATATGCAAATTTCTGAGATTTCCGGACAGGCCCAACAGTCCCCATACAGTATCAATATAGCCATGGAAGTGATTCAATCACATTTACATTGTACCAATAAAAATCTTAGGCTTTGTAAAGGGTATCAGAATCACCACCATAATTCCTATCAAAGTTGTAAATATATCAACTTCAATCCATCTTGAGAGAAACATTTAAAAGTCATTCATCAATCCCAATGACACTTATGTTTTAGCATCATCAAGAAGAAATGATATCTTTACGCTTTTAAGACCTTCCATTTGAATAATAGGAGTCACGGAGACAGCAACCCAACAACACAGATAATCAAAAGCCATCTCGAGGTAATTTTACAGTATTTAACAAGACATATATGTCTATCCATTGGAAAGGAGTTGGCAAGCTTAAGGGCATACGATACAGTAGCAGGGGCAGATAATAACTGTTTCAAAACTTTTCGTGTTGTTTATGCGACGTTGTTAATCAGAATGTTGTAATTTCGCTATGTTTCTAATAAGAAAGATTACATTTCGTGACTCCGCTTTAGATGTAGTCACATTTGCGGAAATCCACTGACGTCATAATCCTGATTGCGTGAATTTGAAAAAAGTACCTGCAATGAAAATCAGCCAAATCATGAGAATTGTTATATTTATTCATGATTAATAAGGAAGTCAACAATATCAAATAACTTCGAATGGGAAAAAATCAAATCCACATTCTTAATTTTGTATGTCTGTTATTTCATATAGGAAATGAATAAGAGATATAAAAAACATAAGACGTCGATGAGAGAGAAACTACACAAAAAAAAACATAATTAATTATATAGTAATTTCACCATTTGGCTAACTCTAAATTGTAATGAGAATTGTACGGATAAATTTAACAGAGACTATCAACAAAATGACAAAAAAACGTAATAAATAATGACAGCGCATCTTACTGTTTCTGACTTTGAAAAGGTACATTAAAGAATTTAACGGCATTTTTAGAATTTAACCCTTGGAATATATAAGTGTATGAAGAAGAATTGTCAGTTAAAATGACTCAATTATAAGCCCCGTATTATAGACCAAAAACAAAAACGCACCCGTTGATGTGCTAAGCATATCCTCTATGTACATATTGAGAGAGAAAAATCGGCACACAGGAATTAGGTATTTGACAGACCAGAGTTGCAACTCATTGATGTTAAGTTACTGACCAAATACGAAGTCTTTTTGTAAAGTAGTTTCTCAGATAAACAAAATATTTGTTGGACCGGACAAACAATGTGGTTGCACTCACTCCTAGATTGAAGGTATAATACAGACAATTCAATGATTATATGTACCGTAATAAAAAAAAATACCCTGAAGACAAGCTTAGGTAATTTATCTATTGATACAGAATCATTAAATTTCATGCTCTAATATCGACTGCTGTATGAAATGTTATACTACACTGTAATTGACTAAGCTGGCCCGATTTAATGTGGGTATGATTTTGTGTTCATGTATTGCCTAAAGAGTAGGTCGTTAGTTTTCTTGTTTGAATTATTTCACATTTTCATGTAGAAGCTTCTTAAAGCTGACTATACGGTGTGGCATTTTCTTTTTCTTTTTTTTTTGTGTTGAAGGCCGTAGGGTTACCTTTCATAGCGTTTATCTTCTTCGTTCGAATTATGGTTGATAGTTGTCTCTTTTGCAATCATACCAAATGTCCTTATTTTTATATCACCCCCCTTACTTTATAATTGTTGCACATTTTGTGATGTCGGGGCCTTTTGAATAATTAAAACTATGTTCAAGCTGTGTTGTCTACATGAATTGTATGACTAATGTCGGACAGAGATGCAAATTAATTTTTTTATTATAAATATCTGTTTTGTTTCCGAACATTTATTTTCTAAAAGTAATTTACTAGAATACTTTTTCTATCCAAGTTTCATAACAATTCATAAAGGTTTGGCAAATATGATGCAATTTTATACGAGGAGCCAGCTTTATTAATTTTCATGATTAATATCATTGGTTTAAAAAAAACAAAACACCTTGGCTCTACCACTGAAATTGACAACGTAGTATAGTGAACGGCGGGAAAGATTTCATGACGTTGTTGCGAATAAAACTTATTCCAACGTAGTTTGGCGCCTTATTGGTAAACGTCCCGTTTGCCAATAAAAATTAAGGTTTATTGCTTTTATTGAAAAAACAAGCACATGGACCCCAGTTTTTTCTTTTGCAATCGATCAAGTTCTGTTTCAAGAACACTCCGCCAAAATTTTAAGAAAAAATCAAGTATAGAATTTTTTCTGCACTTCAGTGTAGACGCAAAAATATTTTCAACTCCTTGTATTAAAAGAATTTAGGATATAATTATTTATTTCAACTGTTAACTTTTTACAACATGCTGATGCCATGGATCAAGGGAACATTTTACAAAAAACCTGGTTAAATTATGACTGTTCGTTCAAAAGTATTGGTACTTTCCTTAAAAGTCCTTATTTATGAAATTTCAGGGTTTTTCCTTCAAATATGCAAATTTCGAACCAAATTATCTCAAAAAGTAAGTCATGAAGGTATATTTTTTTTTGCATATTTCAAAAGTACACATCGAAATTGACTTTCTACCAAAATTTCAAGAAAAAATCAACGAGGGATCTCTACTGTATCGTATGCCCTTAACTCCTAGGAATTACAATTTGATCAGTCAATTTAATTTTAAAATACTTCTTAGATTTTTCAGGTCAAATAGATGTGAAGCCAAATCTGACATCTCTACCAAATCATAATAATGTGACCAATAACAAGTTACTATACAGCCTTCAACAATGAGCATGCCTATACTGTAATGTATACAGCTAGTAGCCTTAAAAAAAAATCAGATTTAGGGTCTCCATTTGACTGGATGTTGATGTGCATAAATTCCAATTCATTTATTTGCATATCTATCAAAACTTGAATGTGATTTGTTCTTAGTTTACACTTCTGCAGACTATGTTTGAGGAACTGCTTTTGTAAGCTATGTAAACACTTTGTCAATTTCACTATGCAATGCTATGGTCTAACTGTTTTTTGAAGGTGAGTCCAGGGACTCATCATTTTTCGGCATGACAAGTCCAACAGTGAGATGAAATTTTATTGCTATGTAATTTATTATTTCAGTCCAAATGACCAAATAGAGCAAGGAAATGACATCAGATTTAGATTATTTTTTTTATTTTTGTTATAAAATGATGATATATGTGCTCAGTTGATACAATATTTTACAATCCTGATGCATCTTTGAATCACCAGTTTTGAAAATGATAGGTCCAGGTAGATTTTCATGAGTCCATGACTCATGTACTCGCCTTAGTGAGAACCCAAAGTGATATATTCATGTGCAATGTAAATCCTATAATGTTTTCAGCCCAGCCAGACAGTATAGTAAGCTGTCAGCATTTGTTTTAATGCTGGATGAGAAAAGTTAAGATGAACATATTTTTACACCTGGTCAAACCCAATGTTTAAGGCCAACTAAAATTAATAGATTTTCATCCAGATTTAAAAAAAAAAAAATGGGGCGGGTGGGAGGATTTTATTTTTTAATTTTTATTTCCTACGCAACCCTTTTGTGACATGTTCTTCATATGCAAGGGTAATATTAATAAGCTTCTATCATGTATAATATATATATATAATATATATATAAGGAATCCTACATAATTTTTCTAATTCTTAAAAAAATATTTCTGATTGGCAACCACTGTTCTACATGTAATTGTCGCTTTAGAAACCTATTTTTAGTAAATAGCAAAAACGTGACCTGAGAAATGCTCTCTTTTAGACTACCTAGCCTACACCAAATTTATTTTGCTTTCTCGGCTATGGTTTGTAATAACTATAAAATAAAGCATATACATTGGTATGCAACACAAGTATTATGAATACAGAGTGAAATGAAAGCTCAAACTGTGTTGAAAATACTAGGGTTGATGCTTTAAAGATTCATGTGCAAGGTGCAAATATGATTAGAACATGAACTTAACCAAAATGAAGAAGTTGTTTATTGACTCTATTGAGGACAGAGGGTGTTTGCTGATTGTCAACAAAAAAACTACAGCCTTGAGGGGCAAATCTAAGGGCTTGCTATGATACATTTTGTATGTTGACAGACTTTTTGTACTCAATAATATACGGTCATAAATCACACAAGTTCGTGCTTGTGTCAATTTCTTTATTCCAGTCATATTTTTTTGTACTAATGTGTTCTACGATTGTTGCGCTTTGGAAATCATTCACAGTCCAAATTTCCGGACACAAAGTCATTGTATAAATAAATAAACTGCTTCGCTGAGCGCAGCTGGATACAACCGCAGAGGTCCAACCCTGAACAGTTGGGGCAGAAATGGACACAATATTCAAGCTTGATACAGGTCTGAATTTGGATTGTAAGTAAATATTTGACACATTATAGGTTTCTGACACAGAATAAATGTAGTCAAAGAACTTGAAATTGGTTATATGATTTGAATTTATATTCAATTGAACATTTCTTGCTTTTGTGCAATACACTGTGCTGTTGCGCAATACTTAGTAAATCTTTTTTCAGACTATATACAAAGAATTAGCAAAATAAATTGTGACCCCCAATCTTTCTTTGGAAAATTGACAATTTCTTAAATCTTGAGGAAAAAATATTGTTTTACCCCCCTCCCCTCCTCCCCCCCCCCTTTTTCCATAAAATAATGTTTGAAGAAATTTTCTTTATAATTTCTTAAATCTTGAGGAAAAAAATTGCCCCCCCCCAAATTTTTTTTTTTTTATCTCCCCTCCCTTTCCAAAACAAATAACATTTGAAGAAATTTTCTTTTTGTAAAATGTGGTATAATTTAAGAGACATCAATACACTTAAAACACAAGTTATTGTCTGAAAACTAGAAAAATTGCTTGTTTTAGACCCTTTTTGGCCCCTTATTCCTGAACAGTAAGGGCAATTACCCCCAAAATGAATCCCTACTTTCTACTAGTGGTAATGAACCTTGTGGTACAATTTCAGAGCAATTAAAATACTTATACACAAGTTATTGTCCTGAAACTAGAAAAATGCTTGTTTTGTGCACCTTTTTGGCCCCTAATTCCTAAACGGTTGGGACCATCACCCCAAAAACAATCCCAACCTTCCTTTTGTGGTTTTGAAACTTTTGCTTAAATTTCAAAGAGATCCATACACTTAATACGGAAACCAAATGTCTTCGGACAACGACGACGATGTGATAGCAACATACGACCCCAAAATTTTTTTGCGGTCATATAAAAAATCCACGGTTTTCTATAAATCATAGAAATTTGTGACACATCGCCATTTGCGTTCTTGGACACTGCCTATTTCTCGTTACCTGAATATTTCATGCCCTTCTCGTATTCAATTTCTATTCTCGGAAGATAATGTTGCCATCTGAGCAGCAGAATGTCGACTTAATCATTTTGGTTAAATAACTAGAAGAAATACAAAACCCGAAATTTGCAATTCAGGAAGTTTTTAATGAAACGAAATTATTGTCAGTTACAGGTAACTATAAAAGGCCCTGAAATGACAAATGTAAAACAATTCAAACGAGAAAACTAACAGCCTAATTTATGTACAAAATAATGAATGAAAAACAAATATGTTAGTATAATAGTCCCAGATACATTGTATATATATATATATATATATATATATATATATATATATATATAAAGTGCCTAGAAAATCGACCTAACAATGTTAGAGTAGATCTGATTCTTTACTTCCTCCCCAAGCGGGGCTGGAACCTGTACTTTTCACTCCTCATTTCTACGACAACAATGCCTAGCATTGCACAGATGCCTTATCCCCTCCTCTAACTATAGCTGATAAAAATCAGCTTTGGTTTCGGGAGGTGTTACCTTCTCGTAGGTATTAAACAAGGACATCTAACACAATACACATATATTTAAGTGAACAGGAATGATCATCTACTCATCTGTTCAGTATAATTACAGGATGCTATTCTATTTTAAGGAGCATACAATCACTATGAATTTATATTGAGATATGTCTGCCTATAAAAATATATATATAAATTGCCTAACAATGTTATTTTAACACACTATTTAGTATGTAAATTTTAAAATGTTTAAAATATTTACAATGCAATAAAAAATAAACGCAAAATTTCCCTACACAAACTAGCTTCATCAAGCGTGCATCTATCCAGGTGAAATCGGATGCAGTTTCATGTAAGAAACTTTTGCAGCTCATTGTATATTGAATTTTGCTGCATAATAAATAATTCAAAATTTGATGAAGTTCAAGATTATCTATTTAATTACAAAATCTGTTGTTGAAGTAAGGTAAGTTTGCAATATCCATTGGCCAATATTACAGAGATATTAAGGGTGATGCTACATAATAATTATTCTTTATCTTTCCTGTATTCTTCATTAATCCCATCAGGTTCTAAAGTATGGAGCTAGTAGATCCAATATATATATGGACATCAAAAAATGAGGAATTTAAAAGCAACCACTTAAAATGTCATTGTACATGTATATGGAATCTATTTAAAACATTTGTCAAAAAAAATATATATTCATTGTTCCAGAGGTTGGCAGGTATGGTGATGCAACCTGAAATCATTTTCTGGTGATGCAACCTGAAATCATTTTCTTATATAGATTGTGATGGAATAATTTTTAGGAACAAGATTGTATTTCAAAATTCCCTGTTTACCACAATGCTATAAGAAATTTGTTTGGAGAAAGCTGAGGAAGTCAGAAAGTATTTACTTAAATTGCTCCAGTTCACATGGTTCAGGTTTCCACCGGTACCTCAAATGACGGAATAACACCGTTATTATCAGAATAACACTTGTAATGACCGAATAACACTTGAAATTTTAATATTAGCACATATTGGTGACTTTTAAACTTTGATTAATACAAAATAGTATATTATTAATGTATTTTATAAATTAAAAATGATTTACAGAAAGCAGGTAAGTTCATAAAGATTATTTTAAATATAGTGTGTACATCCAACATAGCACCACTGTCCAAGGAAATCACAATGGTCGCCATGTTGGATGTACACACTAAATTTAAAACTATCTTTATGAACTTACCTTCTTTCTGTAAATCATTTTTAAGTTATAAAATACACATATAATATAATATTATTTAATAATCAATGTTTTAAAGTCACCAATATGTGCTAAGATTAAAATTTCAAGTGTTATTCGGTCATTACAAGTGTTATTCAATCTTTCCAAGTGTTATTCGATCTTTCGTGTTACCCGGTTTCCACTGATAGGAAAACTTGTTAAAACTCTATAATAGATATAAGAAGATGTGGTACGAGTGCTAATGAAACAACTATCAAAACTAGTTCAGGATTAAAACACCTGGGTGGACTCCTGCATGCCCTTATTGGAGGAAATTGCTTGTTGAGAGTAGTGGAAGGCAATCATTACCCTGATTAGGGTGGGGGCACAAAATTTACTGTATCATATCTACATGTTGCTGCCCATCCCTGTATTTAACGTTGTTTAACTCTATTCATGAAAGTTCAGACGAAGTAACACATATCAAACTGGTGGATTTTTAATATGACTTTGCTGGACAATCAACTATGAACATCGCCCTGATCTTCGAATCCAAACAGCATGAACAGAGATTCACATGCAAGGCTGATAACTACATTTGCAAGCGGTGATGACCGTGTCGAAAAATGTTAATTTTGGGTCATATTGACAAACTGCACCTATCAAACTCATTCAGTTGTATCCTTTCTTCATCTGAAAGTGAAATTTCTGGGTTGTCAGGATTCATTCTTCCTTGATCTCATATCTTTTACATCTTTTCGGCAAAAATTCAGAAATATTTGATTCTGTTCCGGTGTTTTCCCAACACACTGACCTAATTAATTGATTGACCAATCAAAACAATGTACGAGTTAAACAAAGTACCAATCTATATTAAATGACAAAGCACACGAACGTACCTAAAATATAAATACTTTTTAAAATGCTTTATTGTTTTGATACTAATTCAGAGAGACATATATTGTAATACAAGTTATGTATGTTACGTATAAAAATAAGGAGATGTGGTATGATTGCCAATGAAACAACTATCCACCAAAGTTCAAATGAAGTGGATGAGAGCAATTATAGGCAACCGTACGGCCTTCAACAATGAGAAAAACCCATACCGTATGGTCGGCTATAAAAGACCCCGACATGAAAAATATGAAACTATTCAATTGAGAAAACTAACGGCCTAATTTATAACAAAACAGTTTACGAAAAACAAATATGACAGACATGAACCAACCGTGCGACAACCACTGAACTACATGCTCCTGACTTGGGACAGGCACATAAAGAATGTGGCGGGGTTAAACATTTTTTGAGCGCTTAACCCTCCCCTAACATGGAACAGTGGTGTAACAGTACAACGTAAGAACAAACTATAAAAATCAGTTGAAAAAGGCTTAACTCATCAGATGGATACAAATAGAAATACATCTAACAAAAATACAAAGTGGACGTAGACGGGTACTTATACATCCCTGATCTCTGGTTTAATATAACTATACAATAACAAATCATAATATTAGCTCTTAAGTCCTTTTTACAGATAGCCGACATACGTAAAATAAACTTGACCAAAAGCATGAAGTTAAGGATTAAATAGCACATATTTAAAAGCAAAAAGATAACAATATTACCTCACTATATATCTTATACTCTGATATCTAAGTAGCACATATATAAATGCATAAAAACAGTACAATCATTGTACAATTTACCTCAGCTATTCATTATTAGTCTGGACTTCTGATCAAGCCTAAATATGCGAAATTAAAAGTTTTAAGCAAAAAGAACATTGAAGCATAACTTAATGTAAAGCATAGGTAAAAGATAAAGATAAACTGAAATTTAAGCACAACTTAGTATTAAAAACGTACCAAAACAACCGTTAAGCAAATAAGTGACTTTGACTAAAATAAGTATATTACATGAGTGTATAATATATGAATGCGGAGCACCGACTTTCTGGATCATTCCAGGGCTGGTTGAATCTTTTAAAACGGGGGCCGGGGTAAAAAAGGGGGGGGGGGGGGGGTCACGAAATAGAAGTTCCTTCATAATATAAGTTCCAAATGGAAAAAGTATTCTGGAATATTATTTCCAACGGAATAAACATTACAGTATATGTTCCTAACGGAATAAATGGTATAGAATATTTGTTCCAACAGGAACAGATTTTATGGCATTGTTTATAACAAAGTTTCTAGTGGAACATCTGTTAGGCGGAACACATATACGTTGACATAGGGACTATTTGCAGTCCTGTGTTGGTTGAACAGAGAAGAATCTACAAATCATACACTGTTCTTATCAGATTGTGTTGATATTTAGATGACAAAGACAGAATCAAAGAAATGTATAACATCAACACCACACTGACCAATATAAGATTGTTAATCCGCCTAAACAGTCATTAAAGGGTAATAACTCCAATAAGGAGTCGATTGACGGTTTCTGCCATGTTTGTTAGTAAGTAGATCCGCATCATTCTGAACATTTCTGCCGGTCAGATTTTCTCTGTCTATAGCGATTTTCAAGATAATAGACACAATTTTCAATATAACCCTATGTTCTATTTTTAGCCATGTCGGCCATATTGGTTAGCTGGTGAGATCATCGGACACAATTTCTAAACTTGATACGATGATTGTGCCGGTTCAAATTGACCCAGTTGTTTCAGAGGATAATATTTTGGTATAAGTTCTTTTCCGGACGCCAAGTGATGAGAACAGCTCAATTGACCTTTCGGTTCAGGTTAGCTTACAACAACAACAACAACAACAAAATTATTTCAGAAATTTACTGTAAAAGACTGTCTGACACCATGTAGCGAATGTGTGAACACACATGAACATAGAAGAACATAATAAGCTGCTAGTTGTGTGTTTCAAGTACAAAGCCTTGTTAGCTTAAACGAAAAGTGTCTCTTCCATGAAAAGATCATGAGAGTCGAAATCTCTAACGGGAAATAAATGACCCAGCGCTATGGAAATGATATTTATTGAATCAGGATTTATACAAAATGTTGTGTAGATCAGAGCAAGTTCTAGTCATTAAAAGTCGTTTTATTACATTACATGAGTATTTAACGCATGTGGTACTTAATTAAATGCATAGATTAACTTGCCTATCTGTGTAACTAATGATGTAAACCTTGCAGTGCTTCAAGACAAATTAAAACATAATTATCTCCTTTAAACAATACTATGACAACATTATTACATTAAGTTATTTATTTATTTCCTTATAAATAAACGGTTTTATTGTGAAATAAGCACAAATACATTGAGTTTCTGAATACATGCTTCACTTAATAATAGTATCTTATAAGGATAAACTCCTTGGTATTCAGTAGTTGACGAAGCAATGGTTTTCCGGTGTAAATATATTTTAATTCCTTATATATACATATGTCATATTTCGTTGAATCATTTTCGGTTATAAAAATAATAAGACAACGAGTATTTCAATTTCCTGCTTTTGTGACTAAAAGTTTTCCTGATCGTAGTGGGTTTTTTTCTTTCAAAATCTTGTTTTTGTAGATTTATTTAAACAGACAGTGAGTATTTATCTATCTTTAATAAATCAACTGTGTAATAATTATATGTAAAGTATCTATAAACTTAATTATGTATTAAATCATTGAATAATTCGGAATGAGTTTCAAATTAAGTTTCAAAAATAGAGTTATCTCTCATTAAAATATTCCAAACTGTTATCCCGTTGGTTGTTTCCCTTTAATTTATAAGATACAGTACAGTAATTTTTACGCAAATAATATTGAGATGTTTTAGGCCATAAGAAGTAATGCAATTTGCCGTGACAAACATCTCTTGTGCAATCCTACAAAATTACAAAAAAAGAAGTATTCAGTTTTAACACTTAAAATTTTATGCTTTAGCAATGAGCCAGTTTCTGTGAGATTTTCGTTTAGTCATAGTTACATATTCATTGTAGTAACGTTTTCACGGAGAGCACACACAGTTTGATGTGTCATTTTGCTATTTTATTTAGGCCGTGTCTATTTTAGTTTCTTGATTTAAGTCTGGCATTGCCTCGTTTTGTATTTTCTTCAAATATTTACTCGAAGCGCAAAGGTCACCAAAAGAATCTTGTACAAACTGAAAATTGATAAATCTGAGTTGGAATCCTATTTAAAGATATGTTCATTCAAATCTGTCATTGAATCTGTTTTCCTCTGATGTTTCTCATAGATCTCAGTATGAAACAAGTATTTGGTTGTTACCAAAGAGTGCCTGTACCTATTAGCTTCAATTGTCTTTATTTCACAAAAGCTTCTGTCTTATGATTAAACTTTTAAAATACAATGTATTGTTATTTCGCGTATTTGAAGCGGGTAACAAATTGTTGTTGTTTTTGGTTATTTGTTTCATTTTGTGTGCATCTCATTGAAGTTTTACCACTTTATAACGTGGATTCCCCGTTGTTGCTATAGCGGATTTATAATAGGCTAATAAATTGATCGGTTGTAGATTGCTTTACGTCCAGTCACAAATAATTCATGCATTTTCAGGACGAGAACAAATTAAAAGTAAATACAATCGGTATGTTCTTCAAGAAAAAAAATGGTAATCAGGATGAAGAGCTAGAAATTTGAACAGATACTGAAAATTAGGATATGTTGAATTGGGACAGAAATATTGCCTAGTAACAGGTCGTAAACGGGATCATCAGGGAGTCGTTGCAATGGTTCTTTTATAGTGTACAGGGAGGGTAGCACTATCTCTTTACGGGAAATTGGAATCAATGGCTCCACTCCAACCGGACGTAACTATATTTAGCAATGGTGTAATGTCGTTACTGGAGATATCAAACTATGACTTGGGACAAATTCCTATAACCCATTCAACCCTTGGAATCGTTATAAGGATAAGGTTATAATGGTCATTTTTGGAACTTTAATGCTTCTTTTCTAGTTTCGATACCCATATATATTTAAATTTTTATGTAGTTGATCACCTGTGACCCTTAAATATATATAAATGACTTTGTAGTATACATTTAACATTATTCACCTATCGTTTTTATTGATATTACTGATATACTATCTTTCTATCACAACGTATTGAATAATATTAAAAAGGATAAATTTCGCATATCGTTATATATGATACCAGTAGTACTGAGTACTTAGTCAGTTTAATTTTTAGTATACCCAATCTCATACAAAGTCATGGTTTGGTTTTCAGAAAACGTCTATATTGCTGATAAGAATTCATAGAAATCAGAATATACACTTTCATTTTATCATAAGTATATTAACCTTTATGTGAAAAAAACGTATAACGTATATAACTGGTAAGATTCTTTGATTGTCATAATACATTATATTAATATATACATAATTGTACCAAGATCAACTTGGGAGAAGCTATATGATTGCCAATGAGACAACTATATACTAGTACTCAAAATTCACATTTAGTGGATTCGGGTAGCTTTATATCGCCGTACGGCTTCTAACATTGATCAAAAGCCATACCTTGCAGTAAGCTATAAAAGGCCACGACGCGACAAAAAAGGAACCAATTCAAACGAAAAACACAATCACATTTAATAATAATAATATATTAACAGTTTATTATTAAATCTTTTGTTAACCTTTTCTGACATCGGACTCAGACTTCTTTTAAACTTTTTTTTCTGTGTGTATTGTTGTGTGTTCATTTTTACTACATTGGCTAGAGGTATAGGGGGAGGGTTGAGATATCAAAAAACATGTTTAACCCCGCCGCATTTTTGCGCCTGTCCCAAGTCAGGAGCCTCTGGCCTTTGTTAGTCTTGTA